TATTTTATCAAAGTACAAGTTGGCCGGGTGTGGTGGCTCATGCCTCCCAGCACTGTGGGAGGCCGAGGTAAGTGGATCATCTGAGGTCAGGAGTTCGAGACTAGCCTGGCCAACATGGTGAAAACCCATCTCTACTAAAATAAAGAACTACAAAAAATTAGCTGGGTGTGGTGGCACATGCCTGTAATCCCAACTCCTCGGGAGGCTGAGGCAGGAGAATTGCTTGGACCCGGGAGGTGGAGGTTGCAGTGCGCCGAGACTGTGCCACTGCACTCTTGCCTAGAGGACAGAGTGAGACTCCGTCTCAGATAGATAGATAAATAAATAAAGGAAGAGTCAATTGATACAGCAAACTTTATTGCTGTCTTATTTTTAGAAATTACCACCGGCCAAGCCTTCAGCAACCACCACCCTGATTGGTCAACAGCCGTGGACATTGAAGTGAAACCCTCCGCCAGCAGAAAAATTATGATTTGCTGAAGGCTCAAATGATTGTTAGCGTTTTTGGCAATAATTACAGTATGTGGGTGTATATATATAAAATACATATTTATGTATAAATATATAATCTTTAAGTATACAACATATATTTTATATATATACACATTTTTACATATATAGCATTTAAACATATGCTACTTCACACCTAATAGACTATAGTATAATGTAAACATAACATTTCTATGCACTGAAAAACCCCAAAATTCTCGGTTGTATTGTGAGATTCGCTTTATTGTGGGTTCTGGAACCAAACCTGCAATATCAAGGTATGCTGGTAACACTGACGAATGGCTCATATCTAGAATATATGCAGAAATTCTAAAACTCTAGATGAGGACAAATGACCCACTAGAATTACGAGTAAAAGATTAAAACAGGTGCTCCACAGAGGAGGAAATACATATGGCCGTGTCCTCAGCCTCAGCAATCGTGAGAGTGTAAACTAGGACCACGTTAAGAGGCAAAACCTGGCAAGAGTTAAGAAATCTGGGCTGGGCAAGGTGGCTCACGCCTGTAATCTCAGCACTGTGGGAGGCCGAGGTCGGTGGATCACCTGAGGTTAGGAGTTTGAGACCAGCCTGGCCACCATGGTGAAACCTTGTCTCTACTAAAAATACAAAAATTAGCTGGGTGTGGTGGCGGTGCCTGTAATCTCAGCTACTTGGAAGTCCAAGGCAGGAGAATCATTTGAACCCAAGAGGTGGAGGTTGCAGTGAGCATAGATTACACCATTGCACTCCAGCCTGGGTGACAAGACCGAAACTCTGTCGAAAGAAGAAAGAAAGAGAGAGAGAGAGAGAGAGAGAGAGAGAGAGGAAGGGAGGAAGGGAGGAAGAGAGAGAGAGAGAGAAAGAAAGAAAGAAAGAAAGAGAAAGAAAGAAAGAAAGAAAAAGAAAGAAAGAAAGAGAAAGAAAGAAAGAAAGAAAGAAAGAAAGAAAGAAAGAAAGAAAAAGAGAAATCTGACAATACCAAATGTTGCAGAGAAGGGGAGCAATGGGAATTCTTACAGACTACCAGTGGAAGTGAAAGTCACTTTGGAAACCAATTTGGCATCATTTATAATATGTAACATTTACCCAGTGACTACCTATATACCATAGATAAAGCCTCACACACGTACACCATGAGGCACGTAGAAGAATGTTTACAGCAATACTGTTCATAAGAGCAAAAAACTAAAAACAGCCCAAATATTCAATGGAAGGAAAATTGGTACATTGATTTTCTTTCTGTTTAGACAATGGACTATTGTACAACAGTTTAAAATAAATTAATTCTACATGACACGGAAGACTCATAGAAATACAATATTGAGTGTAAAAAGAAAGTCTCAGACCACTTAAAATTACAATTATCAAGCCCCAAAAAGTTGAACAATTGTTTAGAAATATAGACAAACGAGATTATATTTTTTAAGGTAAGAAGATGATAAAAATTTAAAAATTGAGATGGCATTCACTTCTGGCACCTAAGAGGTACGTGTGGGAAAATGCCAGTTAGTGGAAACAACACTGGTTTCTGTGTAGGTTTATATTCTACCATTATACTTCAGTTTCCATATGTGTTACATATATTCTTTAATATCAAATATTATATAAAATTATAATTTTAAAAATTAAAGAATGAATGAACCAATCTCATTGGTGGGATGCCAGGCAAGATACTATTATTTGTATCAAACAGAGTTTAATCTCCTGCTCAGGCTTGGGAGGGAAAAGCAGCACATCCACCAGTGTAACGAGGAATAGATGACTTTCTCTGGGAACGTCTTGGAGTGACCAGATTTTCCCCAGCGAAAACCAAGCATCATTTCAGGTACGGAAGTAGGAAAAATGGTTTTGAAAAATATTCAGAATACAGAGGAGTTCACTCAAAGTTAAACAAGAAATTCACAACCGTAGTCAAACTTCTACTTAGATGAGGAATTATACACACATGCAAAGGCCCAAATTATAGATGCTGAAGAAACCACGCATTTCCCCTGATTCCGTATAGTCGTGATAATGTGCTCTTCTCTTTAACCTGGTCTCCACTTGCTGATAAGGAGGTAAATACTTTATTAGATCATTTCTTTGCTAATTACAATTTTAAATCATTACAAACTTTAGTTGACAGTCCTGCAGCTTATCAAATGCACTGTAATCAAATGCAGTAATTAATATACTTCTGCCAGAACTTCAAACCCAGTGAAAGAATTGTGTGAATCAACTCACTTTTCTAGGCTTAAGTGTAAAAAGATTGTTCCCTATCAGCTAAGTTTCACAAGCTAGAGATATATTTTAAAAGTACCCAGGTACTAAAGTTTTAATATGAGGTGAAAATTGATATAGAATTTTTTCCCACTAGAAACTTCCTAGACTCTTTCTAATATGTTATATCAGGAAAAACAAATAATTGTCTTGCTTTGATGCTGTCATGAAATTGGCACTAGAAAGAAACCTGTGACTTTTAAAGCGATCTGGTCTCAACAGCACCTAAATTCTTGCTCTCATTCCCCTCGCCACATTGTAGCATCTTTAAAAGATCTCTTGTTTTTCCCTGTTACAGAACAAGAACATTCCTCTAATGCTGATGCCCTGAAGCTCATTTTTTCCCTCATCATGAATTATTGAAGTCATGTGGCCTAAAAACGTGCACACTGGGTAAGAAGAGTCCAAAGCTATGACAAGGTTTTCTTTTCAGAACTGGTTCTTATTTTTAAAGCATGTGATCTGAAAATCTAATATAAGATAGGGTAAACTGAATGTTCACAGAAACCACTCCTGGTACAACACAATTAAAAGAGAAGACGTAGGAAGTTCTAGTACAATGCCTGACTGAGCTGGCAGAAGGGAAGGGAGCTCCGAACAGAAAGTCCTTATCCCAGGAAGTGAGCAGGTGGTCACCAGAGCCAGGCTGTGCCTTGGCATCTATGCCCAATCCTGGTGGCCGAGCTCCTGGATCATAAGGGACCACGCACCAGAAGAGAGGAGGCAAAGCTGGGACCTGAACAGGCTAGAAGATTCGATCAGAGCATAGACAGATACACTGGGGAGCAGTGGCTCCTTCAAGTGTGGCGGAAACACAGTGGTGGAGGAACAAACTGGAGCCTTTATGCTACTCCTGCCGTTTCACTGTTCAGTTGCGTGGTGGGTACACGGGGCATATTCTTTCCATGATATTTTTTTCTGTAATATGAAATAACTTTGCAGACGTCAAACCCATGTCAAAATATCAAGGGCAATTTCAGTTCAGAAAGCAATCTTTGTTGCCCATAAAAAGCACAGCTGGGCCGGGCACAGTGGCTCCCGCCTGTAATCCCAGCACTTTGGGAGGCCGAGGTGGGCGGATCACGAGGTCAGGAGATCGAGACCACCCTGGCTAATGCGGTGAAACCTCGTCTCTACTAAAAAATTCAAAAAATTAGCCGGGTGAGGTGGCGGGCACCTGTAGTCGCAGCTACTCAGGAGGCTGAGGCAGGAGAATCGCGTGAGCCCAGGAGGCAGAGGTTGCAGTGAGCCAAGATCACGCCATTGCACTCCAGCCTGGGCGACAAGAGTGAAACTCCAAAAAAAAAAAAAAAAAGAAAAAGAAAAAAAAGAAATCCAAAGTAGGAAACGCAAAAATATGTTTAGCAAGACCCTGTTACCAGAATATGTGTTCAGTTTCCCAAAGGAAAACTCCAAAAAGGCCAATATTCATTAGAACATCAGAAACCTTGTGGTATGTTTCTAAAGAATTGGTTTCAAGTTGTTACACCCAAATGACGTTTTATTAATGAAAAATTGTCTCTGACAATCCACAAACTAGTTAGAGAAAATGCCAGCTATTAAAATATTAAAGTTAATTCTTTTTATTTTGAGTATTTGAAGAAATAAAAAAAAACTTGCCATTTGCGATTTTATTTAGATTATTTTAAAATACAATCTGTAGTCTTGAGACCTAGCATCCCAGGGTATAATCTAAACTCAGAGTCGACCCCACTCCCCACCGGCTGTAATCTTAAAGGAAGACCTCCAATCCAATTTCACTGGCCTCTTGGTTCTTCCCAAACAACATCAGGCATATTCCACCTCAGGATGTTTGTACCTCCTGTTCCTTTTGCCTGAATCACCCTTCAGCCTGGTACCCACAGAGCTCAATGGCTCATCCACTTGGCTGTTTAGCTCTTTTGCAAACTGTCTTCTTTTTTCTGTGAGCCATCCCTACTATGCTGTTCACCACTGAACCCCTTCCTCCAGGATTCTCAATACCCCATTCTTTCTTTATTTCTCCATACTAGTGGTCACATCGATATACTGTGCTTTTGTGTATGTTTTTATTTTCTCTCTCTCTCCCACTGGAAGGTGAGCCGCGTGGGTGCAGGGATTTTGTGATTTTGGTCACACTGTGTGTTCATGTCCGGCCCCTAGGAAGTGCACCTGGCGTGTATCAATCTGCACTAAATGGACTTGAATGAATGAGTGAAAGGAGGCTGCCTGTGCCCACCTATGTCAAACAATTATAACGGGGAAGCTTACAGGTAAGGATCTTTGAAAGTGAGCCCAGCCTTCCAGTCACCTTGGCTATGAGGGTCCACCAGCACGGTGACGGTGACAGCAGCATTCTCAGGCACCGCCTGGCTTCCCAGCTGTGCTGCCCAATCCGAATCAGTGAGCAGGGCACATTCGCGCAGAGCTTCTCCCTTTGTCCACTCTGAATCAAACAGGCATTATAGAAACGTCCCTTATTCCTCTCGATCTCGACCGATCTCGACAAAACCACCCAAAGGATGTCTCAGCACCAGCCCTCCGAAGGCGGCTTCTCTCAGCACCAGCCCTCCGAAGGCGGCTCCTTCACACAGCTGCCTTTCTCAGGTTGCTTTCCATGTCTGTTCTTCTCTCCCCATGTAAAATGCTTAAGCCTTCAAGTCCTGTGCATTTCGTCTGAGAGAGATTTAATTACTGGTATTTTGAGTGGTGCGTGTTCGCTACAGGAACGATGAAAGGCGCCTGGAATCCTTCCTGAGAGCTGTGAGCAGGCAGTGGTGATGATGGAAACGCGTGGGGCTGGGGGCTGCGTGCAGCAGCACCCATTACCCAGGCAGGAGACCCCCAGCCCACACCGTCATCCATCAGCTCAGAATCCCCCAAAGTATCAGACGATTTCATTTTCAGCATGATCCTCTCTTAAAATGCTCAATGATAAAATCTTAGTGCAAACACGCAGCGTTGAAAAGCCAATTGTTGTTACTGTGTTCTTCCTCCTGTGTGCTACTTCTGAAGAAATAAAGTGGAATTGTTCAAACTGAAAATTGGTTCCTTGTACTCTGACATCCATCCATAACTCAGTTTCATTGGCTGGCTCAACGGTAAAATGAATATAAATAGAATAGCCAACATTTTCTCCTTTAACACACTGGTTTCTTGGCCGTGTTCCATCCAGCTATTAATCCAATACAATTTACCGAATTTATGGAAGCTGAGAGTACACAGGTATTGGATGACAGTCACACACAGTGGAATGGAAACAAAATGATATTACTAACCAGCCACTGCTTGGTTTCCAAATCAGACAGAAACGGTGAGAAAAAAATAGCTTCCCTCTTTATCTGCAGATCAGTGTGTGATGGTTACTGTCATTTGTGCTGGGGAATTCAAAAGAAAATATAACATTTTTTCAGTTTATTCAATAGTGCTAATTACTCAAACTCTAGATGCAAAACTAACCTCCCACAGAAATCTCCTAAATCTACACAGACACGTCCGTATCCCTGACGGATGGGGCTTATTTTACGTATGAATCTTGCTCATGACTTAGAGTGCACAGAAAGTGCTGTAGCCTCACTTTTAACTAATTGCATGTAGAAGGGAACATGCTGTACACAATGCTGCCCACATGGAGGTCTTCTCATTCCCCTCCCGGGGTTCTCGTCATCTACATCACATCATCGGTACTTTCATTGTTTAATAGTTCCCTTCACATTCCCTCAATAATTGTCTTTACAAACCTACTTTTGTCTTCATTCCAAGTAATAAAAACCATCAGTTTTAGTCATTGGCTCATTTCGCAAGTATTTATTTGAGCATCTACTTTGTGAGGCATCTTCTGGGGAGCTGGAAATAGAGCTGTGAATAGGCCAGATGAAGGCCCCGCCTCACAGAGGTTACATTTTAATGGAGAGGAGAGTCAAAAAACAAATAAATACATGACATTCCTACACATGTGAAGTCCTCCACATTTTTTTTTTTTTTTTTTTTTTGAGACAGAGTCTTGCTCTGTCACCCAGGCTGGAGTGCAGTGGCCGGATCTCAGCTCACTGCAGCCTCCGCCTCCCGGGTTCATGCCATTCTCCTGCCTCAGCCTCCCGAGTAGCTGGGACTACAGGCGCCCGCCACCTCGCCTGGCTAGTTTTTTGTATTTTTTAGTAGAGACGGGGTTTCACCGTGTTAGCCAGGATGGTCTTGATCTCCTGGCCTCGTGATCCGCCCGTCTCGGCCTCCCAAAGTGCTAGGATTACAGGCTTGAGCCACCGCACCCGGCCGAAGTCCTCCACATTCTATCTGTAAGGATCACACACAATGTTCAGGGACCCCGCGTTTGTGAGACGTTAGTTCAGTGCTTTGAACCCAGGCTCTGGAACCAGATGCTTGGGTGTGACTCCCAGTTACCCAGCTTGTTACCCGACAGAGCTTTTGCAAATCACTTCACCTTTCAAAGTGTCGATTTCTTTGTCTAGATAAGCAGGATGCTGATAGTTCACTCATGGGGGCTATTGTGAGTATTCAGTGGGACAATGTATATATATGTAGTACTTAGCAGAGTACCTCGTAAATCACAACTAGTAACCCCTGAATAACTGTAAGCAATATAACTAATGGTGACACCCAGTTCTTCTCACAATAACACAAACAACACTACGTTAATCTTGTAAATATAGGTGTTAATTTTTAGTTACTGCTGTCGTTAGCCCTAAGAAGAACCAATGTTTTTCTTTTTTATACTGGGCATTTAATAAACGGAATTCATATATTGAAATATTAACTGTTTTCGCATCTCGATTGGTGGTGGTATTGGTGGTGGTGGTGGTGGTGGTGGTGGTGGTGTTGGTGGTGGTGTTGGTGGTGGTATTGGTGGTGGTATTGGTGGTGGTGTTGGTTTCCAAATAATTTTAGTGCTTCAGGTTGAAAGTTCCAGGAAGGCTTTTTTTTCGTTTTTGTTTTTTTTTCTCTCTCTCTCTCGCAGGTGAAATAACAGCTGGAACTTACCAGAATTCTCCTCCTCAAAGAGTCTGCATGCAGTGGCATAAAACTAACACAGGTGCCCCAGCATGCTGACAAAGAATAAATAGAAGCACATGTTCTGAAAGGTCCGTAATACTTTGCTTCTCAGAATACTACTTATAAAATGTGGCCAGCTTTGTTTTGCAAATTGGCTGACACCTAACGTAGAGGCACCGCTGCTGGTGTCCGCGTGACCATGCCACCTGGATTCCCTTATCTCGTTTATTATTATTAACCGTTTCAAAAATGCTTTGGAGATTTAAAGAAAGGGATAGATTGTGATCTCTGCTCAGAGTGTGGTCCTGCCAGGAGGCCAAACGACTTGTTAAAGGTTCCTTTAGTGACATGGTCGGTCTTAACTGATATTTTCCTTTTAAAAACAACTGTCTTTTTGGGGGGTGCCCAGAGAGGATATGAGGGATTACATTTGAATAGAAACTTTGGAACTTGCTTTCCTGTGCCCCCTTTTATTTTCAGGGAAGAAATCCCCTTGGAATGTGGAAAAGAAATGAGTTTCAGCATACTAAATCCAAGTAACACAACGCTGATCTCTCTCAGCCACAAGTCAATACAACAGCAAAAGCCCCAATAATGTCAGACTCGCCGTCAGGAGACGGGCACAGTGACACGCTGTGCCTGCGTGAGATGGATGGGTGGTCTGGAGGATGTGGTCCCGTTAAAACCGGGGCATATACACACACACGCTTATAAAAACTTCTCGGAGGAGGCCTTCCAAGGAATCTCTGCGCCGCCACCTCCAATTCCTCCAACTACAATGGAAGAGCTACGTTTCCAGACTTTCACGAAGAAATAGCAAGTATTGGGCTTCCTGTGCTTTCCTGACTTGAGACTCACTTGGCCGACCAATTGACCACCATGGGAGGGAATGCTGCACTTCTTCTAGTCATTGACATGCGGATGGCCCCACTTCATTGACTCTCCAACAGGAAATTCCATCAATTGAAATTCCGTCAAAAGACAGACTTTCAGAGTCAAGCTGAGCCCAGAGAGTGGGTTACCAAGGTCACTGATAAAATTGTTCACTGCAACCCAAATTTACCTGAGGGTTCTTGCAAAGTTCTCACTTAGGTTGACCATGTGTAGATCTGCAGTTAAGCCAAAGTTAACCTAGGCTTGTGGTTGTAAAAAATACTAGAGAAAGTCCAAGGATGCAGTCTTTCCAACCTGGTCTCCTGAGTCTAAATGACACGCTGGTGTCAGAAATGCTTTGGGGAATTGGTGAAAGGCTAGATTTCTCTACCTAGACTCTTTCTTCCTCTCGACTCTTATACTAAGTGAATCAACCCACATATTAAAAATGTAGTAAGTTATGGATATTTATGGATAATTTTACAGCTAAAATGTAGAAATAGCATGGTCAGACTATTTTATGAAAGAGCCGAAACACATAGTAAATTAAGATTGATTTGCATGAAATGTTGCAGACATCCAGATGATATTAAAAAAAGGAAACAAACTTTGTTTGAACTCTGTAGCTGTTAGATTAGATTATCCCCCTTTGTCTGTACTCTACTCCTGTTCCCAATTTAACACCTGTAAATTGGCATGGAAATTGTATATAAAATGCACATTTCATATTGCAAACGTAGGAAGTTCAAATTGTGTGAGAGTCACAATTTTATTAGAAATTCTTCAGCTCATGCCTTTCCCCAGCCTTGAAAATATGGGCAATCCATTTTCTACTAATATCGTTTCTTTTTTATACCTCATAGTGTTTGGCAATAGTCAACAAAGGTGGTCAGGAGAGCCCGGGCATTGGTAGGACCATAAGCCATGGTGAAGAGATGGAACAGATTGAGTTTGGACTTAATAGTCTTCTAATTCACTATTTAAAATTAAGTTCTTGCCCTGAGGAATTCTCCACGTTTCTGTTGAACAAATAGACAAACTGAGGCAGCTCCCAGGTAGCTCCAGTGATTCTAGACTCTTGAGATAAATGGTCGGCCAGGTCAGGGAAGGTGGGGCTGGCTTCTCTAACGTAAGTAGGTGGACTCTCACGGGCTGTGGTTTAATGTCTCGTTATATTAGCTTTCTTCTTTCCACAAATGGACTTGCTGATTCACTGCTAAAAGAATCGAAAAGCTAAGATGCCAATCAGAGAAATTATTTCCCAGGGGCACTTATGTACAGATCTTCCAAAATGTTTCAGGAACTGGGGTTTTCCAGCAGGAGTGGTGAGACTTCGAAATCATTCTTGCCAATGTGCCTTTGCTCTGTTCTACTTTCTTGCCTGATCTCTCTCTCTCTCTCTCTCTCTCTCTCTCTCTCTCTCTCCCTCCCTCCCTCCCTCCCCCATTTTCTGAGGTGCAAGAGTACGGAATCAGCTTCCCACAAAATGCAGAGACATGTTTTTGAGTGTCACACGGATCTAGCCAGGCAGAGCTGTAGCGTGGGAGCCCTGCCTTGGAACGGGGCACTCCACCATCAATCAGGAGAGTGGCTTCTGCTCTTTAATCCTGTATCTCAGATGGTGTGACATAGGGATCATCCTGAGAGAAAGTTGTCACTGCCAGATTCCGGGATACACTGCCCTCATTTTTATAAATCCATGCAGTTAGCTATGACTTTAAATTGGTGCCATGGTGAACAAGCACGTCTTAAGCATACATGCCAAGTATTACAAGCCATTTTTCAATGACTTCAGCTTCCTCAGTTCTGAAACCTCGGATCTCACTCCAACTCAGCATCCACTATTACGTTCTGTGTCTCCATTATATTAGATTCGCAGGAGGTTAATGAGAAGCACAGCATATAATTCACATGAATAGGCTTTGAAAGCTAAGTGTGATAAAAAGTATTATTATTACTATTATGCAAAGTCCTTGCAGCAAAAATTACATTATCCTTTTTCCAAATATATTGTGAACCTATTGCTGAGCTGGAGTTCAGATCTAGGCTTTCTCGAAACTCCATCTGTGATGCTTGCTCTTACTTCATAAACTTCCCTGGGTATGAACACACTTAGGGTTTCTTCTCTCCCAAATGCCCCAGGCAGTTGACAGGTGGATAATGATATCAACAGGCAGGTGGCCATCAAAGACCCAGGATAGGTGTGTTTTTGTGAAACCCCAGATGGTTGATTTCTGTATGATACCTCTCCATAGATGTGAATTTCCCATTCTTTATTTCTTAATTTTAATAAATCACTATTTAAATAACAAAACTTAACATTCAATCATTATTTTAAAGATGACTTTGTAAAACAACTCAAACAGATGACGGCAAAACTTCCAACTAATTTGTATCTTTTCCCCACTTTTCTACCATATGATCAACTTCCAGTTCAAGGCTCATTTTTTTCTCTGGCATTTGTCACATCTGTTGAGCTTCCCAAGAGCATCTCTCATGATCAGCTCATGGTCAAGGGCTAGTCATGGCTTCAGCTATTCACCTGGAAGGTCTTTGGTGACCGAGTGTTGATTTACACCTCCACAGACGTGTGGTAGGAGAGAGGAAGAAACTGACAGGGGGAATCCTGCTGCAGCAGTCCTCCACTGTCCAGTTAAGAAGTGGTCATTTCCACTCCATTCTTACGAGTTCCCACCACCTCTTAGTTCCTTAATTTTGCTAGGTAGCCCTAGGGGGCAGCCGGATTTGTGTATTACGCTCATTTTTTGTGTGTCTTTACTGTTGGCAACAACCTGAATCCACAAACTACTTAACAAAGAAAAGTCTGGGCAAAATGTAGACAACTCTTACAACAGGCCTTTATTATCATTTGATCACACCATCCATCAACTGACGCTAATCTTCAACTGACAGTCACCTGGTCTTCCAGGGCAGGTTCCGGTAATGCAGTATAGCTTTAGCATAACTTCAGAACAAGAAATCCCAGTGGATCGTAGCTATCTACTTATAAATTATAATTTTCCCCTATGTAGAAGAAAATATTCAAGACCTATATAATTCACATACTTAGAAAAGAAAACAGCTTATTTTTTTCCCTCTCTCACATTGCCTGGAGGTAAAAAAAAAAAAAAAAAAAAAGCTAAACGGATAATATCTTTCAACACTGAATTGATTTCTCAGCTTAATTTAAGCAAAGAAATTATGTGCCAGATGGCATAATCAACATGTTCTGTTGAAAGATTGCAATTTTATTCTTATAAGAAAAAATAAGCGTTTCTCCACGTGGTCTACGCAGCAGGGAAGAAAGTTTATATATGCTGGCTCTAACAATGCCATCTTTGACGAGGAAAAAGACAATAGCTTTGAATGTATTCACTGATCTGTTTGGAAAGCAGAAATGGTACTTTGTTTTATTCTGCCAAAAATATTACATAAGACCTATGGTAAGTAACTGGAAAAAGAACTATTAAAATGAATAGTCATGAATATAGTAAAATTTATCTTTGCACAGTTGGGCATTTTAAAGATTTTCTGAAGTGCATTTTATTTCTAATCATGAAATAACTGTATTCATTCAATATCCTGAACCACGGTGCTATAAAATCTGAATATGCCCTTGGCTCCCCCCTCCCAGGGAGGTCATTAAAAGATTTGCCTATCTTGGGGGAGATGGGAACTGCCTGTTTTCACAACTCATTCCATTTTTATGTGACATTTCTATTCCCTACACTTCCATAAAGCACTTTGCTAAGAAACTCGGCCATGAGCTAAAGAGAAAAGCACGATGTTTATAAGAAGGAAGAGTCCGAACAGCTCACTGATACAAGCGTTTGAGCACTCAGAGTTGCAAGGAGAGACAAGGAAAGGGGAGGAGGGGAGGAGGGAAGGAGGAGGGTAGAAGAGAGGAGAGGGAGCCACCAGCTCATAGAGAAAGAAAAGCACAGGTAAAATAATCAGTGACCTTGCTTCTGAAAAATGAGCCAGGCATGGTGGCTCATGCCTATAATCCCAACACTTAGGGAGGCTGAAGCAGGAGGATTGCTCAAGCCCAGGAGTTTTGAGACCAGCCTGGGCAACATAATGAGACATCCTCTCTACAAAATATTTGTTTTTTTAGGTAGCCAGACACGGTGACACCACCGGTGGTCTCAGCTACTGGGAAGGCCGAAGTGGGAACGTTGCTTGAGCCCAGGAGGTCGAGGCTGCAGTGAGCCTAGATGGAACCACTGCAAGCCAGCCTGAGCAACAGAGCAAGACCTTATCTCAAAACAAAAAAAGAAGAAGGTTGCCTTGCCTATGACAGGTAAATTATAGATAGAAAATATGGGGATCTCTCTGATTACTTTAGAACAATTTTTGTTTTTTAAAGACAAGGTTTCACTCTCTCACCCAGGCTGGAGTGCAGTGGCACGATCATAGACCATGAGACTCATTGCAGTCTCAGCCTCCAGGTTTAACTGATCCTCCCACCTCAGCCTCACAAGTAGCTGGTACGTGCCACCATCCCTGGCTAATTTTCTTTTTTAACTTTTATTTTAGGTTCAGGAGTACATGTATAGGTTTGTTATACAGGTAAACCTGTGTCATGAGGATTTGTTGTACAGATTATTTCATCATGCCAGTATTAAGCCTAATACCCAACAGATATTTTTTTCTGCTTCTCTCACTCCTCTCATCCTCCATCCTCAAGTAGGCCCCAGTGTGTGCTGTTCTCCTCTTTGTGTCCATTGGTTCTTGTTATTCAGCTCTCACTTACCGGTGAGAACATGTAGCATTCGGTTTTCTGTTCCTGCATTAGTTTGTGAAGAATAATGACCTCCAACTCCATCCATGTTCCTGCAAAGCATATGATTTCATTCTTTTTAATGGCTGCATAGTATTCCATGGTGTATACCTACCACATTTTTTAAATCCAATCTGCCATTCATGGGCATTTAAGTTGACTCCATGTCTTTGCTATTGTGAATAGTGATGCAATGAACACACATGTGCATGTCTTTATGACAGAATGATTTATAGTCCTTTGGGTGTATACCCAGTAAAGAGATTGTTGGGTTAAATAGTTCCATTTTTAGCTCTTTCAAGAAGCCCCACACTGCTTTCTACAATGGCTGAACTAATTTACACTCCCACCAACAATGTATAAGCGTTTCCTTTTCTTTGCAACCTCACCAGCATCTGTTAGTTTTTTACTTTTTTGTAATAGCTATTCTGACTGGTATTTCATCATAGTTTTGATTTGCATTTCTCTAATGATTAGTGATACTCAGATTTTTTTCATATGCTGGTTGGCCATATGTATGTCTTCTTTCAAAAAGTGTCTGTTGATGTCCTTTGCCCACTTTTTATTGGGGTTGTTTTTTTTTTCTTGCAAATTTGTTTAAGTTCCTTATACATGCTAGATATCAGACCTTTGTCAAATACATACTTTGCAAAAATTTTCTCCCATTCTTTAGGTTGTCTGTGTACTCCGTTGATGGTTTCTTTTGCTGTGCAGAAGCTCTTTAGTTTAATTATACTCTATTTGTCAATTTTTGCTTTTGTTGTGATTGCTTTTGGCATCTTCATAATGAAATCTTCGCCAGTTCCTATGTCCTGAATGGTATTGCCTAGGTTGCCCTCAATATAATAAGAGCCATCTATGGCAAACCACAGCCAGTATCATACTGAATGGGCAAAAGCTGGAAGCATTCCCCTTGAAAACTGGCACTAGGCAAGGATGCCCTCTCTCACCACTCCTATTCACCATACTATTGAAAGTCCTGGCCAGGGCAATCAGACAAGAGAAAGAAATAAAGGGCATCCTAATAGGAGGAAAGGAAGTCAAATTATCTCTGTTTGCAGACAATATGATTCTATATCTAGAAAATCCCACTGTCTCAAACCAAGAGCTCCTTCAGCTGATAAACAACTTCAGCAAAGTTTCAGTATACAAAACCAATGGACAAAAATCAGTAGCATTTCTGTACACCAACAACAGCCAAGCTCAGAGCCAAATCAGGAAGGCAATACCATTCACAACTGCCACAAAAAGAATAAAATACCTAAGAACACAGCCAACCAGGGAGGTGAAAGATCCCTGCAATAAGAATGCAAAGCACTCTTCAAAGAAACTGGGGAGGACACAGACAAATGGAAAAAATGTCCATACTCATGGATAGGGAGATTCAGAAGCTACTGATTAGGAGTTTCAGTGGAAAAGTGGGGTCTGAAGCCATACCACCCTCTTTCCATGCCCATAGGTCCCATTCAATTGACAGGCATTACACGTTTCACGTGGCTCAAAGATCAGTGATGCCCTTATCGAGGGTCATCTTTCCACTGAAGACTAGCCGTGTTCGTTCCCTCAGTCTAAACTGAACTCTGCAGCATCAGGCATGTCTTTTCTTCTTTCTGATGGAACTCATCATGTTCTAAACCCTGTGGGACTCAAAACTTAGTTCTCACATCAAGAGCATCACTTGGAAACTTGTTAGAATACAGATTTTCTTCCACTCCCCAGACTTTATGAATCAGAAACTCTGGGATGGGGCCCAGAAATTGTGTTTTATTGAGCCCTCCAGCAGATTCTAATGCAATCTAACGTTTGAAGCCCACTGCTCTAAATGAGACCCTAAGGAAGGACTCAGCCATGCTACAAAGGCAAGGTACTGGGTAAGGCGGCAGGCACAAGAACACATAGGAAGGCCAAATCCTCATGCTCATGATCTTGCATTCTAGGGAGGGTATTTGTGGGGACATGTAGGAGATGGGCACATGCTAACTTTCAATAAAAAACTGAGAAAGGTTGACCTCAGATCCTTGGATAATCCATGAATGTTTCAGGCATCAGATGGTTCTAATTTAAGGATCTGGATTGAAAGTATGGAGTCCTTGTAGCTCTGAAAATCCCACAGGACAGTGGCTAAAATTCTAATTGTCAGGGTAAGTTCTGTGGTTCTGAACTGACCTGTGGTTTCACAAGAGAAATACCCACAGCTGTAGAGGAAACCACGAAGATCTGGAAACTGCCTGCAGAGGTCAACAGAGCCACAATATATTCTACAAACCATCCTAAGGAACCACAGAAAATCATCAAAAGAAAAATGCATTTTTTGGCTTGGAACTTATTGAATGTTTAAAATCAGGGAATGCACTGGGTAAGAAAGGAAAGACCTCGTTGGCTTTTTTTCCATAGAGAAATGGCAGTCGGATTCTGCGTATTCACTTCCCACGAACGCTGCTTGATAGCAGAATACCAAAGAGGAGTTTCTTTCAGAATACATCATTATTGCATTTTGCATTTTGATTTCATTTTTTCACCTCAAAAGACTTCAGTAACTCATACGCCTCTGCTAAAGCTTAACAATATTCATCTTTTTTGTTTAACAGATGTGCTTTTACAAAAGAAATGTTCAAGTAAGGAGAAAACGTCAGTTGTCTAACTTTAGCTTTCTGATCATTACCCTCAAATTCGCTGCCTAGGAAATAGCAACAAGTAAGTAATCATTGTTATGAAGCAAAACTGTTGACGTTTGGTTTCAGGCCGGCCTCCTGAGGAAAGGGCTCTGGAGCTTCCTTTGCGCGCCTGGAAAGGCCTTTGTGTGCGCCCCCTAGTGGGTGCTTGGAGCTCATAAGCAGAGGGTCATTTCCAAAGTCTGCAGTGGAAATGGACGCTGATTTTCAAACCCAAACGTCGGTCTATTGCTATTCTCCCCAAAAGGGACATTTTTCTCGATCTGCTATAAATATAGTGAAAGGCTGTTACTTTGTGGTAAATTTTTAGCACCATATCTGAATAGTCATTACATTCATTAAATTATTCTTTAAAATTACAATTATAATGTTAGTACTTGCATTATACCTCATGTTTATATAGTACCATCAAAGTCAAACGGCATTTAATATTCATAGCATAAAAGATAAAAGTATCATACGGTGATATTAGGAGGAAAAATCCTCCCGATATCATTAGGAGAACAATTTCTTCTGATGGAGAAAACCTCCATTCTCCGGCTTTAGCTTTTTCAGCACTATCACGTGTGCTCCGTGCCCCACCTCACCCAGCCATGGGACAGCCCAGCTCTCCTGACAGGCCCCATCTCCTGCACCACCAGTTGGAAGGCTTCGTTCCTGGCAGGAGATAAGCGAGCCTTGCTCTAGTTCAGCATAAATAACTCCTTTTTTCACCCCACATCCCTTGGAACTTCCCTACCCCCACGTCTCTACTCTTCTCCACAAAACTTTCCACCTTCCAGCCTCACCTTCTCTCTTGAACATGCTCTGGTGAAAGCAGTTTTCATCTTCACGGCTCAGCGAAAATGGCGCTTTTCAAAAGCACCAACGACTTGCCCCCAGCCAAAGCCAGTGCTCCATCTGGGCCCTTTTCTTACTTCCTAAGTGGTATCTGTGAACGCACTGGCCGATCTCCCTTTCTGTAACATCTAGTGCTAACATCATGTGACACATAACAGAATTTTAGTCAATGATAGACTGCATCTATGATGGGGGGCCTTAAGATAACAAGATACCATATTTTCACTCTGCCTTTCTATGTCAGGATACACAAATACCATTGTGTCGCAATTGCACATGCTGGGCAGGTCCACAGCCCAGGAGCAATAGGCTGCACTAGAATGTTTGATCTTTCGGCTTCCCTGGGCCACACTGGAAGAATTGTCCTGGGTCCCACATAAAATACATGAACACGAATGATAGCTGGTGAGCTAAAAAAAAATCGAAAAAATATAATGTATTAAGAAAGTTTACAAATGTGTGTTGGGCTTGCATTCAAAACCATCCTGGGCCACGAGTGGCTGCAGTCAGCAGGCTGGGCAAGCTAGGGCTGCGTCAGGTTTGTGAAAGTTCACTCTGATGTTCACACAACAACAAACCCTGGGCATGATGAATTTCCCGGAGTGTGTCCCCATCATGAGGTAACGCACGACTGTATCTGCAACCCATCCAAGCTAAACTGTAGCTCTAAAACGACACACCCAAACCTGCTTCTCTCAGTTCATGGTACCACTGTCCTCGATACTTAAGGCCCCTCTTTCACTCACAAACATCTTCCACCTAACAGCAAATCCCAGCAGCTTAACTGCCCAAATAAACTCTGCGCCTTCCATCCCCTGCCGATTCCTACCGCTGACACCCCAGTGTAGCAGCCACACCTCCACCCTCAGCAGCCAGGACCACCTTAAAATAGAGATAAAATCTCATCATCTCCCAGTTCACAATTCCCCAGAGGCCACCAGTCTAATTAGGATAAAACGCAACTCCCATGGCCAAGAAGATGCTATATCTAGCGCTTCTTAGTCACTACACCTGAAATCCCTCTGACCCTGCCTGTAGGCTCCATCCATCTTATCCACTTTTGCAGGAGCAGTTTCCTCTACATGGGATGTTATTCCCCTGCATGGCCAGCTCCCCCTCATCTTTCGGGAGAGGAGTCCTCATCTGACAGGACAGGAGTCCTGTCACTTCCTCTGTGCACTTATTTGACCATGCTACCAGAAGCACCCCTTCCCACCATCCCACCGCCCTTTTCAGAATCTTCATAGCACCCCTCTCTATCCTAAATCATCTCATTGACTTGTGCCCGTGTTAAGTGTCTCCGCCCACCAGGATAGAAGCTCAACATAGTCAGAGACATATGTGTGCTTATGCAACATTATTGAGCAAATCAATGAATGAATAAATTCCACTCCCTGTGCCAAATGGCCACTGTGGCTGCCGGGGCTCACTCTTCCCAGCCTGTCTCTGGGTTTACAGCTTGTTTCTGTCTTTCAATACTGCTGTGGTGTTTAAGAACCCGCACCCACAGTGAGCATCCTCTTCCAATTTTCTCCAGTTCTCCAACAGGTGAAGTGCCTTAGAGGGAAGCTCTGACTCCAGTTAATCCTATTCCTGGCTCTGGTCCTAAGACAGACGACTTGGAAAGAGTGTAGGGAGTGGGCTGATTGGGGCAGACATGAAACCAGTATGAAGACTTTTGTCACGGTGCAGGAAGAAGGTAGTGAGCGCCTGAATGAGGGCACTAGCAGTGGGGTTGCTGGAGAGGGAAGAAATTAAAGAGGTGTCATGGAGGTCGCATCATTCAAATAGGTATGTGACGTGAAGTGTATTAGTCAGCTCCAGCTGCTGTGACAAAGTACCAAAGACAGGTTGGCTACGACACGTTTTTCAGTTCCAGAGGCTGCAAGTCAGAGATCGAGATCAAGGTAGGCACGCCTAGTTTCTTCTGAGACCTCTCCTTATCTTGCTGATGGCGCCCCTTGCTGTGTCCTCCCATGGCCCTCATGCCTCTCTCTCTTCTTATAACGACATCAGTCCTGTTGGATCAAGGCCATACCCTTCCAACCTCATTTAACCTGGGTTACCTCTTTATAGGTCCCATCTCCACAAAGACTCACTTCAACATGTGAATGTTGGGGAGACATAATTAAGTCCATAAAGGAAGGGACAGTTTAAGAAGCATTAGTGGGCCGAGCATGGTAGCTCACATCTGTAACCCCAGCACTTTGGGAGGCCGAGGCAGGCAGATCACCTGAGGTCAGGAGTTTGAGACCAGCCTGGCCAACATGGTGAAACCCCATCTCTATTAAAAATACAAAAAGTTAGCTGGACACAGTGGCGGGTGCCTGTAGTCCCAGCTACTCAGGAGGCTGAGACAGGACAATTGCTTGAACCCGGGAGGCGGAAGTTGCAGTGAGCTGAGATCATGCCATTACACTCCAGCCTGGGCAACAAGAGTGAAACTCTGTCTCAAACAAAACAAAACAAAACAAAACAAAACAAAAAAATAAGAAACATTAGTGAGGAGTTCCAAATTACACGATTTTTCTGATTGCTTTTCATTGCTACTGCAGATGTATTTATTGTGCACGTTCATGTTAAACACATAGGATCATTTTAGAGGCGGGAAAACTTTCTATTACCTGGAGGTCACCATCTGTACATTGGTTTTAGGACACAGAATCTCTCCATTTCCAAATCACATCCACAAATCCGTTTGTGCCAACCGTGCACCATTCAGGTGAGTGTGCCAGTCGGTGTCACTAGTTTTAACCAACAGAACCATCACTGCTGACTCTGATTCCTTCCTGAAAGAACAGGGAGGGAACAAGTAAACCACGGGCCTTACCGCAGTGCCAACATGAAAATGAAGGGTTTGGAAAGCTCACGCTTGCACGCATCCAGGCGGAGGCACCCTGGTGGCTGCCTTTCCAATACACCATCTGCACTTTCTCACCTGCCTGCTCTCCACGCCCACTCCGCAAAGGCTTCTGACCATACACCATCTGCACTTCTCACCTGCCTGCTCCCCACGCCCACTCCGCAAAGGCTTCTGACCTCACACAACACCGAACGCCCTCTTGTACAAGTTGCAGCACCCATGGCCAAGCCTCCAAACTTTACTGGACTTTGTGAGTTGACCTTGCCTCTTTCTTGAAGCACTATTTCTCCTAGAAAATGAACACTTTATTCCCTCCAATATTGTTGGCTCTCTCTGTTAACTCCCTTTGCTGATTCTTCCTACTTTCCCCAAGCTCTCAATGTTCCTCTTTCAGGAGTCATGCTTTAAAGATCACATCTATATTTCCAGTTCCTTTTTCCCTGGGACCTTCAGATTCCTATGTCCAGCTCAACACCTCTGTGTATAAGTCTGATAAACATTGTAAACTGAACACTTCCAAAACAGAATTGCTAAGATTTTCCCCAAAATTCTCTCCTCCTCCAGTCTTCTCCATCTCAGTAAATGTCACCAAATTCACCTAATTGCTTAATTCACCAATAATAATAATTACTAATACATATGTTCTTATTGGAGGCCAGATTCTGTTCTAAACATGTGCGCACGTGTGTGTGTGTGTGTGTGTCCCGTGCACACTCACAATCCCCCGTTGAAGGAGATACTATGATCATCCCCATTTGACAGATGAGCACAGGCAGGTTAAATACCTTGCCCAAATTTACACAGCGAGTAAGGAGCAAAGACAGGACTTGAACAACGTAGGCTCTTATCATCTCCTAACGCTAGGGTTAGGGTTAGTCTTTGCTCGTAAGCACTATGCTATAATAGTTTATCTTTTTTTCTCACCCTCCCCACATTCACTCCATCAGCAAGGTCCCCAGTTCTACCTGCAAAGCACAGCTCAAATGCACCTGCTCCTCACATCTGCCTCCACTCCTTTCTGAGCCATCACTGTTGCAGGCCTAGGCTAATGCAAACGCCTGTGAATTCTTCTCCCTGTTTCAGACTCTTGCAACCCTATAGCCGATCTCTATATACACAAATCATCATCTTCTCCCCTGCCCACCACAATCCCAGAATTCCATGCAAACTCCTCATGTGCAGCCTGTGGGATCCGGCCTGACCTGCTTCCTGTATAGCTCATCCACCTCCACCCCATTGCTCTTGCCCTCTGTTCCCGTGATTGCCTGGAGGACCACGTTGCTCTTCCGGATCACATTCATGGATGCCTCGGGGCCTTTGCTCTTGCTGGTCCTTTCCACTTAGAACACTTCCCTCCTTCCCTAAATTCTCACGATTTTCTCACTTCATTAGGTCTCTTCCCAAATGTCATCTCCCTCAGATGTTTCCCACGACCTCCATGTGGAGTAGGCCCCCTGCCCTCCGGTGAGCCTTTGTCTCCTCCCCTTGCTCTCTGCTTTCTCAGTGGAATGCTCCCCCATCGGGCGTCATATTAACTATGCGTGTGCTCATTATCGCTCTCTCCCTCCGGAACGCCTGTGCTACCTGGGCAGGGAAGAGTGCCGCCTCGTTTCAGGTGCCTCACTAGAGCCTAGACCTGCGTCAAGCACGTAATTAGAGCTCGATCCACATGTATTGAATGAATGAATCTGCTGTTTTCTGGTTTCACGTTTTCTATGTTGGGCTTCCTTTCTGCCTTCGTTTCTAAGGGAAGCGTCTCGTGGGCAGTGGAGGCGCACACTCAGGTGACATGTGCACCGGCTCTCCCCACCCAGACTCCACTCATTCCAGCGCAGACTGCGAGTGCTGCCTGCCCACCTCCTGGCTTCGTCGGCTCCTAAAAACCTTCCCCGCCAGGCAGATGCCATGCTCCCTTTTCTGTGGTGAGAATTACCTAATGATAATAATTATCACGGCTGTTTTACAACTGGCATAAAAAGAATTCATGCAGACGATGTTGCCTTTGAACATTATAACAGGATAAACTATTAAAAGCACAACCACAAGAAAATACTCGAGCCAGAACTGGAGAGCCACAAGGTAACAATAGGACACACAGTGCTTTCCAATACTTCCAACTACTGCTTTGTGTCACCTCCTTTCAGCCATGAGGAGCATGCTCTGAAAGATGCCAGCCCCGTGAGCAGCTGGGGCCTGTGATAGTGACCGGGAACACGCACTCCCTGCCTCAGCTTTTGGTGGCCATCTCTCATTGAAGGGCTCCAGGGCGTGCGGTTCAGTTTCATAAGCAATCCTGGGTCTGGGTAAACATGCTTGACTGATTAATGATAACAGCTCTTAAAACACCACAGACGTTTCCAGTGCCCAGAAATGTTTATTTTTTATACTAAATTAAATTCATTTTCCTTCTCATTCCCTCTAAGGAAAATGGTGACAAATTTAAATTCAGAGTGGACTGCTATATTGAAGATGGCCATGTGCCACAACCTCTAAACAGGCTATGGTTTCATCAGGAGGATGGTGGGAGGGAGGAGATTCAAGGGCTGGGAAGGAAAGAGGGAAAGCCCTGGGTGAGCATCGTGCCAGCGAACATGAGCACGGAGCCGACTGCGCTGCTCGCCGAAGGAACGGTAACTATTTTGTATTTACCAAATACAGTCATGACCAAGGGCAACTGATTATGTAACAACTTAAAATATCGTCAAAAAACAAATAAAAGCCAAGTCAATAAAAAATAATTAACTCATCGTCATGAAGAATAATTTCTTCTAGCACATAATAAATACTTATTTATGATGGAAAAAGGAAAGGAAACCAATATTTAAGGCACCTGCTTGTGCCATGCACCACGTTGCAGACGAGTAGAAAACATTATCTCCATCAAGCACCTTAAAAACTGAAGCTTAGAGTGGCTAATTTTCCCAAGGCAATAGAGGGCAGAACTAGTAGCTAATCCACAGCCCCGTTTTCCATCTGTTTACGCATGTCTACACTGCCTCCAGTGACGACGTCGACAATAGATACTTTTTATATGCAGTATCTATTTATTTTATTTCTATAAATCATTCTGGCCATTTTGTGCTTATAAATTAATTACCTCTTTTTAAAAGCTATATTAGACTATATTAGTCATAGCATCCTGACCGATGTGGGTTTTTCCACCACCGTGGCTCAGGTAATTCCCACCAGCTGTAAGTGGTCCAGTGTGGAGAGATCCTTCCAGAAAAGCACGCTGTCCACGGACAGCTGCCCCTGGTTTCTGAGGTTTAAAGCTCAGCCGTACGATTCAGAAACATGCACAGACCGTAGAAGGAGCTGGGGCAGGAAGACACATTCACATTATTGTGAATATCATTTTAAAACTGAGCTGAAATAAATAAGGGTTTGCAAATCAATTTCAAAGGATAATTACATGTTGCTGCTTCTCATTTTTTTGTGACTAAATTTTTGTGAATTTAGTCACAAATGGATCTGCAAAGGCACCCACAGTCACAAATAAAACAGGAAGATGCACAGCACAGCTGTGAACCCTCTTCCAAAGGAAAACATTTGACTCGCTGTTCAGGGGAGGCCATTACACATTTTGGGTGAATCATGATGATGATTTTGATTTTTCTACATGTTGAAGACAGGCACATAATTCCTTAATTTCGGAAAACGGGCATATTTTCTACATTTTAAGATTGAGGCAGGCTGGCCATATTTATTGATTTATTCCTCAATAAACATTTGTCGCATTCCGGTTTGTGTCAGGAACTGTGCTCAGCTTCAGGATAACAGTTCAGCAAGACCCTCACCCTGCCTTTGAGTAGCTCAGTGTCCAGGACAGAGAACACAGACGAACGTGGATGAGTTATCCTTACACACGATTAGTGCCAACGTATCAGTAAAATGCTACAAGCCATCGAAGACTAGGTAGACACAGGTGTGGTGACCCAGAGCAACCTCCTCTCCTTCATAAAACAAAAACAGAAAACAAAATACCTGGCCTAACCTAGTAAACATAATTAGATAGTTAGCATTAAATTCTTTGGGTTAAGGCTTTTTCTGCTGTTAAGAGGAACATGTTCCTGTAAGAAGTGATAAAAACTGCACTACCAACTTTCTGAAACATCCCAGGCCTTTCTGTTCTAATGTCTCTGATCACAATGAGCTTTTACCACAAACGGCTGTTTCCCGCTATCTCTGAAAGTCAAACTCTTATTCATTCTTCAAAGTCCAGTAGAAAAGCCGCCTCCCCAGATAAGCTCTGCATGCCCTGGGCCTGCTTTCCCGCTTTCTCATAAGTACGTGCCCTTCTGGCCTATGTCATGGCTACGTTTTCTGATTTTTTCTTTAGGAACACATGGCTCAGGTTGAGGCTATCTGAAGTTACCAAAAATAGAAAGAGAGAAAGCACATCTGCATCCTTTTTTTCTGGAGAGTCTCTCCCACCTGGACAGCTAAGTTGGGGCCCTGAATTTCAAATGAAAGCCCCTCAAGGCCAAGGCGTGGGTACACCCGGCCACGGCAGGACAGCAGGGTCCATGGCTTTCCAGGTGTGCCCTTCTCTGTCCGCACCCGGCCTGGGAAAAGACCAGTCCATCCACGGAGCGCTGGAGCACATGGCACACGGGCGTCTTCCGTCCATGAACCCAGACTAGGATCCCAGCGCACATGAGGGTCCTAAGTAAGGTGAAACTGCACAGAACGGAACAATACCTGCTCTGTTTTGGCGACACGACGACGTATCGGTCTGCTGAGGCTGTGTTAGGCTGCAGTTACAAGCAGCTCTGAAATCCCAGGGGCTTCCTGCAACAGAGGCGGCTCTCACTCCTATTACAGGCATCTTAGCTGTGGCTGAAGAGGCAGTCTTTATTCAGATGAACGTGGATGCCCTGGAAGGAAAAAAAAAAGGCAGATAGCTTCTGTCGCACCACGGCACAGGTCACTTCTGCTCTCATTCCACTCTCAAAGCAAGTCAGGGCCAAGGCTGACGTTAGCGGGATGAGGGTGTGTCATTCTCTCAGTGGGAGAAGCCTGTCAGAGGGGCAGTGAATATTTTAACAGCAATTTCATCTACCACAACACGTGAGAAAGATTTGGATATTGACGCAATCCAGAAAGAGCACCAGAGAGACCAGCAGATTTCTATGGAGTTTTAGTGGAAATCCGCTCATGTCATTGGCTGGTTCTAGGCCTTAACGTTCTCATCTATGAAATCAGAGGGTTGGTCTGTGTGGTGTCAAGATCCTTTCCAGTTCTGACGCCGAGTCCAAAGCCTTGCAGGGTGGTGATTTATTTTGGTATTTTATCAAGTGCCAGCATCATTTCTATATTTCTCAGAGACCTCAACAAGTAGGGTGCTTGGAAACATCTGCACATTTGCTGAATAAATCAGTTAAACCCCATGAATAACTCACATGGGTATGAATTCATTAGATAATTTTCTGGAAGCCGCTGGATGGATGGAAGGTCCTAACAAACGCCAAGAGCTGCAGGTATGGTGGTGAAAAGACAGAAGACAAGAAGAGAAGCAGAGCGCGGCACCTGAGGGCCAGAGGGGCCAGGCTAGAAGGCCACGGCTGCCCACGCTCCACGGGCTGTTCCTCCCAGAGCTGCCCTGGGATTGGTCACAGTTCTTGATTTCTCTGTGGCTGGAAATTCCTTAACTTACAAAATCTCAAGCCATGTGTATTTTGAAACTACTGCAAATGGAAAGAGTTTTTTTTTTTTTTCTGTTCCTTGCTTTGTATTTGAAACCTAGACAAAAAACACACTCTCAAATCATTAGAATTCAATGATAGGAAATGCTGTAGTATTGTACAAAAATGAAATTCCTGATTTTACTCTGAAAAGGAAACGACAGCCTTTTTAACCTAACAAAATAGTCGATTTGCCAAGAAAATGTGCTCAACTGGAAGAAGCTGGCTAAGAAGAAATATACAGTCAGCGCTTTTGTTCCCGTTCATTCTACCTTTGTGAGGTGATAAGAATTTTTTTTAATCTCTCCCATGATTTCCACAGATACACAGCACTGCTAACTGAAAAATTACAAAGGATAATTTGAATTTCATATTTGCTGTTTGGTTGGAGTGATGGCTCTTCATCTTCTCTTCACCCAGGCCATTCTTCTTGCCCACATAATCACAGCTTGGAGAGCTCGCTTGTGAGTTTCTTTCCTTTGCAACTGTGGTCCACACTCGCTACTCAATTAGTTCATTTCTTGGTTCTAAGAATAAATAGAATGTGTATATTTACTTCTTGTTTACCAATGCAACCTGAAGGTTTTAGAAGTAAAAAAGGTTTAGGCTCACAACAGATAAAATGTATCCCAAATAATCATAGTTGTCTGTTTTGTAAGCTGGGACACCACCGTGCTGCCGAAACACCCAACCTCATTGTCCCCTCGTCTTCAGTTCACCCTGATGAGCTGGAAAGCTGCAGACGCTGTCGTGACCATCTGAGAAGTGAAACAGAAAGCAAGTGAGGGGAAGCAGGAGTCTGTATACACGTTCCCTGAAGAATCCTTTGTTTTCATCTTTCCTTTTTCGGCTTTCAAGTGCTGCCATCACACCAGTGATTTGAACATTGCAGAGAAACACCATGGAGGGAAGGAGCGTGTGCGCCCGGCCTTGTCAGCCCCTCGGAAGACCTGGCTTCTTCCCTGACATTCGCTCTGCGGAGGGGACATCCCTGCGCCTTTCTCCCTTAGGGCCAGCGGCTTCCCCGGTCGGCTGGGGCATGTTAGCCAGGCATGTGCCCACCGAGGAGGAAACAGCGCTTCTTAGGCCTAACGCTTTAAATCAAAAGCGTTTGATCCTTTTCACAACGGACCAGCATACTGCTGTTTCAGGAGGCTGACGCTTCCCATGGCGGGGAGGGGTTATGGAGAACGTTGGTTAAGCTTATCGTGTAAGATGGGAAGTGCCCCTGGAACTCTCGAGTGTCACTTCACCAGGCAGCACCCTGCCCTGAACGAAGCACAGCTGCACCCTCAGTCAGAACGGACAGCCCGGCCGGGCTGATCCAGGACGCCAGCCCAGCCTATTAGCACGCAGTTTTCCTTGGAGACGGGCCATCTTCACACTGCGCCTGTGTCCCCTCCCAGCCTTCGTCCCTGCTCTCTACCCACGACCCGGCCTAGGGTGCCTTGGACGGATCTCTTGCCATTTCCTGCATTCTGCCGGAGCACTAATTGAAAATTTGGGTGGCCTTGCTTATTTATTTTCCTGGAATGCAGTGGGTTATATTTTCATGGTATTTTCTCAGCAGTGCAGCGTTTCCATTTCAAACTACAACAATAAGAAGAAAAGCCAGTCCCCATCAGCACGCAAACACACAACAGAAAAGAAAGAAGTCCCGGGTCTGACTCGCAGTCCTGCCTTTATGAACTGTAACTAAATATAAGCCACCAGAGTCGCCTGCTTTTTTCAGGAAGCTAAAAAGGCAAGTTTACTTCTTCAGGGAAAAGGAGAAAGCACAGTGATGTGCTCAGTTGCTGTGAAAAGCAAACGATAAATAAAAGGTGATATGAAAAGTTAGTTGGTACCATTGAACAATTGACACCGAGTGTCTAAAACCATCATAAAATGGACTGGCTCTAAATTTTGGTTGGGTTAATATAAAAAAACTAAAATTAAAAAGGAGCTTGCTTCATCACTGTAGCACTGGGGTTTCACACTAATTTCAAAATGTGCATGTTGTACCAGCATTTTTTGTTAGGAATATGAAGGTCGACGGTGAAATATTTTATTTTCTCAAGGTGCTACACCATGTTGCTCTAATAATCTACCATCACTATAAATTTCATATTGCCTGACATCCACAGGAGGCTCTAGTTCAGTGGATACATGTAAAAACACAACTTTGGCAAAAATTAAATTTATATACCTGGCTTAGATAATTTACACCTTAAAACTGACTTTTGATTTCATCTTGGACGTATGCATCTTTAATTTCTAAACTAATACAGAGAGAAAAAATTGTTAACATCCGATGCATTTTGCACGATATATATTTTTTAAAAGATTTAGAATGGTTGAAAATATGTACACGTTTAGTAGACTTAATTATCAAAGACGATTACTTTAATTCAATACCCTGAAAGTGTGTCCATGAAAGACAAAGACATTTCCATTTTTCTATCTTTAAAATGAGACTGAACCTAGGTCATTTTCTTAATCTCCAGAGCTACTTTCTCTTGGTTGATACGCATTTCTGTTATTGGCGTAATTGATGAGCTTGGTAATTGTACATCAATTTACCTGGAAATGGAAAATGATAAGAACTTTCTGTGGAGCAAAAGGTGGCCGTGTCTGTGAGCTGAAAGTAAAACCTGGAAAAACACATGTGGGCAACCGATTTAAGAAAGAAAAGAAACTTCATCTGTACATATTAATCAAAAAATTAATGGTATAAACTTGCTATTTTTAGTTACTTTTTATAAATTGGTGATAGCACTAAATTGTCAAACAATCAAATTCTATCTTTACATTTAACAAAACATGTAAAGGTATCTGACTTCTTGGCTGAAATAACTTATTAAGGCCTTACTGTAATTCATAAATAGAATTTTTTCCATGCATATTTTGCCCAAAAATTAAAGGTGTCAAAGAGGGGAAAAAAATCTGCTTGGACTTTGTCAATATTGCCAAGCTGAAGCACTTATTTTGAATGTACCCGTGTGAGCTAAATAAGATAATTAGGGTTTTTCACATGATACTGTTCATGCATTTGAAATGCAGAATTATGAGATATGCTGCACATATAATGGCAATACTTTATGTTTTTATAGCTCTTCATAGACGATGAAAGTATTTTTACATATGCAATTGAGATTCACAATGATTCTCTGAAGCTCACTTGTTTAAAAATATATTAAACTAAATAAGAAAAAGATAAAGGAAAATAAGTTTGTTTATTAAAAATATACACACAGTAATAGAACCGAGGATGAAAAATAGGAAATGTGTTGCAGTTTAAATAAAGAAGAGACTTAACCTTGGATGGCCCTGCAGAATATTTAATCCAGTACAGAGGGGGGCTCCTGCAGCAATTCCACTCTTGTGAGCAGTTTAGAAAACAAGCTAGAAAGCATTCATTCCCTTGGTAGATTAAAATATATTTAGCATTTTTTTCTTTTCATTTAGCCTTTCTAAAATGAAAAGTTAAATCCAAATCACACTATTCGTGGCCGTATTATTTTTTTCCCGGTCGTGAACCTCTGGATGTTTCTGTCCTGTTACATTAAATTACATCTTAAGAAAATAAATGACACCTGGGTTGTTACAGTCCCTTTGGCTGCTTGGGCTTTTGTAGATAAGTCTGAACAGATACGGGGAAAGGCATGTTTTACTATTTGTACAAAGTCTCAAAAAGTAAAAATTATACCTCTTTAATATTTTCCACTATCATTTCCACTTTGCTAGGCTTAACAATAAATTTTAGCAAGGCTGATGGTTTTCCTTCTGGGGTTGAAAAACTAAAATGTTTTCAAAGGAATGTACGTCACAGAATAAACAAGAGCAAAATCACTTTTTGTGACTTACCCTTTCCTGGTATGGCAAGGGGCTGCCATTTCCTTTCAACAGAGACGAACGAGGCCAGAGCACGTTTCACAATCTGTGCACAGACTCATTCACAGCTGAATCTAGGCATTGCCCAAAAGAAATTAATTTCTGAAATTTCAAAACCATGCCTCACAAAAATGCGAAGTCTAGGCGGGAGGATTTATATGACAGAGGGTGGGGCCACCACCTGCAGAGCACACCAAGGAGGGACAAGGTTGCTGAATGGTACACACACAAAAAAACAAAACAAAACAGGAAAGCGTAAGTATGAACTACCCTCCCATCTTTGCTTTCCCTTGAAACTTAACGACTTAGACAGAACGTTGCAGTCTATGTACAATGTGGGATAACAGAGTTATTGGATCTATGTATCAGCTTTCTCTGTTTGACATTCAACTGTAAACAACAGACAACTCACCTGATTTGGATTAGTTTATCTAAAGCATCAGGCACAATACACCAGGTTTCTGATTTCTTTTTCTTGGGAAAATACATTGGTTCTTCTGAACACTTTCTAGCAACAGACGCAGAAAGAGGTACTATAAGAGAGCAAGGTACCTCTCAGACCACCAGGCCTGTGGATCGACCAGCGCAGAGACGGTCAACTTACTGCAAGATGGGAGAGAAGATGCCTCGTGGCCAGGAAGCCCAAACCCTCCCAAACACAATTCTCCAGTTACACAATCCACAGATGATCTTAAGGCCTGTTGAAAGCAAAGGACTAGTGAACAATCCTCCTATGATGAGTGGTTCAGCCACAAAAGAGAAATGTGTTAATCAGAGAGAATTTTTTTAAAAATTCGAATGCCGCTGTCAGCATTCTTTTTACATAAAATTCTGTCGAAGACCTCAATTTACAGAAAAGATCAGAGATGTAGAGAAAACAAATATTTAAATTATGATTGATGAGACAGAGTGATGCAAGGTAGGTTAAAACAAGGCTAAGACCAATGGAATCTAAACATCCTAAAGGCCTGGAGCCCCTGCAGCCTCTTCCCCCTAGTTCCTGACACCCACCGTTATGATTTCCGGTGGGACCTGTCCCCAGTTAGCTCACTGCAACTCTTATTGGTAGCTGCTACCTCCAAATTCAGTTTAAGTTTTTGATTTTTTCTTAATAGTGTGTGTGGGTGTGGACGTGGACGTGGATGTGTGCATGTATGTGGGTATGTGTACGCATCTGTGCGTATGTGCCTGTGAGCGTGGGCATGTGGATGTAGGAGTGTTTGCATGTGTATGTGCAGGCATGGGTGTGCATGTCTGTATCTGTGTGTACCTGAGTGTAGGTGTGTGTTTGTGGGGGGTGATGTGTGCATGTGCACATGTGAGCTTGCATACGTGCATGTGCGTATCCATGCCTGTGAATGTAGGTGTGTATGCAGGGGGTGGGGTGTGCATATGTACATGTGTACATGTATGGTATGGATGTGCTAGAAGACAGTGGTGGGCAGTGACCCACAGCCCTCCCTTGGGCTACCTGCCAGGTGGGCCTTGCCCATAGCTGAGGTGGGAGGCCCTCTGAGCAGGGAAAAGTGACTTGTAGTTGCAGGAGGCCTGCCTTCATCTGCCACTGCCTTGAGCTTCACCAAGAGTGAAAGCTAAAATGGCAAAGTCACGGAAGTTACTTGTTACTGCTTCAGAATAAAAAACTTCCAGTTTTCCCAGGAAAATTTGTTCTGTTAAAAAATAATATAATGGTGGGCTAGAAGGAAGAAAGGAAGAAGGGACAGAGGAACTTATAATCAGTTTATTGCCAGTTTTCTTCTCTTGTCCACTTCCACTCTTTTTTTTTTTTTTTGATCAGTTAACTAATAGTTCTCACTTGCCTGCTGTCAGCCATTTTTGGTTTTGTAAAATTCTTTCTTCTTAATATTCAAGTGTGACTTTCAGGAAATAAAAAGGCACAGGAGGAATAATCAACCCTTATAAACTGAAGATGAATTTTTCATGCAAAAGGAATTTTGTAATTGACATCAGTTTCCTAATTGATGTCTGTCGCCACCCTCATGTGCAGACTGAAGTGCTCGCTTCAGCCTTGTGGAATGTTCTGGGGGCCATCATCCACTCAGTGCTTGCGGACACGGGCACTCCTGGACTGGCCATTAGGATCTCTGTGCCGTATGCTTACCACGGCCTGAGGAGAACTCAGGGTGTGTCCGTAACCAAAAATACACGGCAATTTTCACATCTGGGACTCCCATAATTTCTATACATGAAAGAAGGCTTTCATCTCTAAGTGCTCCTCAGCAATTGGAAACTATTTTAAATTATAAATATTATTAGCAATGTATTAATAATATATTATAGATACGCCAAAAGGATGTCAGCATAAGTTCACTGATCAAAACTGCTAAATGTTTTTATATTCAGTTATTTGACATTGAAATAAGCAGATTGCTAAGACTTTGTGGAAGTACTTCACTAAATGCTGTTTTCACATCACAAAAAGCTTCTACAATGGGAAATACTCTAATTTCTACTTTAAAATGTAAAGGAGCTTAGGTTTGTAAAAATTAAATTGATACTCCTATTAGTTTGTAAGCTAAGAAAACATGAAATTTCATTGAATAAACTAGAAAGCCTTGATTCCATTAAAAACTACCTGCATTCTATAATTATGTTTTATAAGGTTAGTATTCCAAATTATTTAGGTTCATTAAACGTTGTGAAACAACATTTCTAATAATTTTAAATTTTAATATGTAGTTATTAGATTCCTAATCAGGAGGTACATACAGATTTCAAGCACTTTTGAATAATTAGCTATAATCGTTTTACAAAAATAGTCATCATGATGTGTATTTAATTGTATACTTATCACCTGAAGATTACAAATGCCTACATAGTATTTCTACGTATTTCCAATAGAAGTCTCAATAATGTGTATGTGAATGTACACATATAATGTGAATTATAATATATATTTTTCCAGTATGAATAAGTTTGCATTAAAAGATGGAAAGATTAACAGACTATGGGGCACAACTAAAGTCGTGAGTTTATTCATCCTTGCCGTGTAAAAAGCTTAGTTGTGACAATAGCTTGTGCCTGGGACAATTTCTGCCCTCAAGTACTGCTTACATAACTGTGTTTACGTAAGCCTGACCAACGGGACAGACCTTTTTTCAGTTTCACTAGAAATTTGCTGATTTAAATATGTTAGAGTAAGCTTGAAAAATAAGCAGGAAAGACAGATTCTTCAGAGTTTCAGTAGCTATTTTCTCCAACAGATTTTCTCAGGTAACTGACTTGTATCGGTCCCAACTGTAAACACTGAGCGAACAAGACCTGGCATAAAAAATAAAAAGACAAACCTGGATTTTCCACTGATTGTCCACACCTCCCGCCATTCAAAATATGCTTTCCTTATTTTGTTTTTCGAAAATTAATATTGCAATAATAATTCGTGTTATCGCGTCTCTACTTTAATAGTGGATTAGCCTAACTTGTAGAAAGCAAGAAAGAATGTGAAGAAAAAAGAACAATGCCTGGAGTGTAACAGGCAAATGTCAATATTTGTTGACTTGAAAAACAGTTGAGCTTAAATTACTCCAATGTCCGTACACAGAAGACCTCTCTGAATTAGTAGCTAGACAATTTGTGTGAACATAAACCTTCGTTGTAAGTGCTGTCCAGAATTGCACCGCCTCTAGGATCAGTGAAACACACATTTCTTAGACAGCTTTAAA